AAATTATTATGTAATTTGTCATTTTGATATAGAGAAAAAAAAAACTCTCACAAGTAGTTGCTCATTAATAATATATGAATGCAATTAATTTTTTTATCAAATGAAATTAAAACTATATATAAAAAATTTTTACAATTATTGTATATGTATTATGTGAAAATATGATCTACAATTATACTACAAACAAAAATGATCATAATAAGTAATAAAATTTTATATTCCGTCCTAACAATGATATTCTAAATCTTACATTCCTCATAATATATGTAATAAATAAATATTTACAAGTTGAAAATTAAATGTGAGAATTAATGTCTAACAATACACACCCATCTGCTCAAAATAAAATAAAATAAAATAAAATAAACACTAGAATATCCTGATTTGACGGACTAATATTCCTCCATCTTCTAATAATAAAAAAAAAAAAAACAAAATCTGCAGTCGTAAATCGATTAGGTAAAACGCTTCAGTTGAATTATAAATACCAATACCGTTTTTAGGTGGCTGCCCATACATGGAGAATGGGGTTATTGCCCCGGCCCATGCAGTTAGGTAAGAGTACTGTAGCCGGCATGCTCGTCTAACTCTCAAACTCCTAACTCCAAGGGCAAATACCAATACCATTTAATTACTCCGTTTCATATCTTAGGAAGTTAAAAGAGCGATGAACAAGTTTGGTCGTAAAATGGAGCCGTCATAACGTTCTTCCCTTCACCGACACCTGAAAGCTTTCACACCAGAGAGTTCGCCACCTGAAAGCTTTCACACTTGAAAGTTTTGTCGTAAGTGCAGTGGACTCTTAATTCCCTGTTGGTTTTTTTTTTGTAATATATGAGTGAGTAAATTTTTTTTTAATAAAAAATTTTGATTCATCAATAAAATAAAATAAAATTGTAGAGCCGATCTGCTCTTCCTCTGATTCTTCAAAGGTTCGTCCCTCCTCTGATTTTCTGTCTATGTGGATTTATTCCCAGATTTCACACATTTTCCTTTATCGCTGTGTGACGTTTGTTTTTGGGGATTTTGATAGATCTATCGTCTAGCTAAGGTTGTCGGATAGCTGGAAAATGGGATAAACAATCGCAATGGTCATATGAAATGGAATGGTTTAGGATGTGACTAATAATAAGATTTTGTGCAAATTTTAGTTATTTTATTGTTTTATATATATTTCCAATTGGTTTTTTAATCAATCATCTGCCTGCACCAAATCAATCAAACTAGCCTACAAAAACCTGTTCGGCTGTGCAGAAATGTAAATACAGAAATTTCAATGCTGAGATTATTCTACAAATTAGAACAAATTTCATAAAAATTGAATCCATTCATAATGAAATTCAGTGATTAAACATCTAATCCTTTGAAATTAAGAGATTATAGTGTTTTAAAATTTATTACTATCTTCGATTTTGTCTTTTCGAAGAATTCTAAATCTAAAATAGAATCAATCACCTTTTTTTATAAAAAAAACAACTCAATAAAAATATCAATCAAACTTTATCAACATGCAATAATTGAATGAAATTAATCAATATCTTTCATGGTCCATCGAACCACAAAATTGTTTGATTTCCTCTAATCACCTCCGATTGTTCCGATTCCGTTAACATATTTCTCTAATATCTTTCTGCGTGTAAATTTCGATAAAAAGGAAAAAAAGAAAAAGAAACCCTAAATCCATTGTAAAAAAATCAATTCATTATCTTTCACTTGTTTTGTTGTCTCAAGATTGCATTCCCGAAAGCCCAATTAGCAACGTAGAGATGACAATACAACTAAAATAAAGTTATTTTCTCAATAAAAACTTTTTATTAAGAAAACTCTTCCTCTCTAGCTATCTCTATCAGGAGAAGAACAAGTCCAAAATCTTAACGGATGATATA